TAGAAAATTTTTATGATTGATGACTTTATGTTGATATATTTTATTTTTTTAACAAATTGTGGAGCAAAAAGAAAAATTATTTAGGCAATTGAAACAAGTTGGACTGAAACTCATTACCGGTCTACCAATTCTTTAAATTAAGATTCATAAACTTTCAAAAATTTAAACTTAAGTTATTAATAATAGTTAATTATAACAATTATATATCAATCACATTTACACTTCCATTCCAAGATGGGATTTAGAGTGTCACAACAATCTTATTCTTATAATTGAGGACTTGCTCGTGAAATGGATATATGTTTTGGTGTCCAACAACACCGTTTTTTTTGGGTTAATTTTATCTTATTTTTATGCATTGAACCCAGGTCATTCGCCTAGTAATGCGCCATACAAATCAATTGGGCTAAGCCTAAGAGCTCTAGTGCTCATGCATAATGCGTCAATTCTCATAATATAGTTTTTTGCGTAGAGAACAGTATCAACGAAGCTATATTCCAATCTAATTAACGAAGATATGGAAATTATGTCTTAAATAAACCTTTTTCAACGATGATGTAAAAAGTGCTTCAAGTTGTTGGATACGCACATCTTATTGATTTATTCAAAAATTGTCCATTGTCTGTTGCCCCTTTTGTATTATTGACTCTTATGAGGCATTGAGGTTCAATTTGCTCGACCCCCTATGTATCTTTTATATTTATATGAATGGACTTTTATATTCACCTTAAAAAAGGTGAGAAATTCTATAACTTGAAAGACGGTACAATTTTGGTCCTATCTACACGTTTAATTTTGGTCCTGTTTACACGTTTTACCTGCTCCTAGAGGGTGCAATTTTGGTCCTGTCACCTGTCTACACGTTTTGCTTCCTTCTAAACCTTTGTGGGCAATTGGCTAATTCTTATGAGGCACTCAGGTTCAATTTGCTCGACCCCCCATGTATCTTTTATATTTGGAAAATGATTGGAATATTTTTTAATTTAACACACTTAACAACATTCATTAATTTAATCATTAAAATTTATTTTTAAAAATTTTTTATTTTAAATTTAAATTTAAAAATATTAATTTTTTAATTATTAAATTAATAAATATTATTAAATGTATTAAATTAAAAGATATATCAATTATTATCCTTTATATTTATATAAATGAACTTTTATATTCACCTAAAAAAATGAGAAATTCTATAACTTGAAAGACGGTACAATTTTGATCTTATATACACGTTTAATTTCGATCCTGTCTACACGTTTTACCTTCTCCTATACGGCACAATTTTGGTCCCGTTACCTGTCTACACGTTTTGCTTCCTTCTAAACCTTTGTGGGCAATTGGCTAAT